GAAATGACTATAATTTCTTCCATAAATCATTTATGTAGATTCTGGTATGACTGTAGTCGTAATATCAGTTGGTAATATTATTTAACTATAATATTATAGCTATCAGTTTCATATGCTAAGATTAATAATATTATTTAGTAATTAATAGTACACGTCATATATTATACACTCTACGAATCTCTGAACTAATATTTAATTTACGAAGATAAATATTATCTTTGCTAAAACGTTCTTTCGTTAACTTTGTCAAGATTCTTCTGAAATTTTGTGTACAAAGCTTTTTAAACGGAACAACATTTCATTGTTCAGCGAACTGATGAGTGACTATCAAATTTAATACACAGCAAGCGTTCAATCATTGCACGCTATAATAACTAGGGAAGAGTTATAGTTAATGACAAGTGACCATAATTGTCATATGATTATTCGTCGGATATAATGACCAGAAATGATTGATGACGAAAACCTTAATCGTGTCAAATCAAGCAATCAAAGAGTTAATGTTAAATAGAAAAATGTGTATTAACTCACTAAACAAGGTCGTTGCAAATTTGGCGGACGTAAACACTAGGTATAGTCCATAAACAGCTGCCAGATGAAGGTAAATGAAGATTATCACATTTCTCCAGACAATACGTCTTACATATTTTTGTTTGTCTGGTTCTACCACCACCGGGGTGTTCTCTAACGTCTCACCCTCGAACAGAACTCCCGTTGGAGAGCTGGTGCTGTTTGGCGCCATACCCGCTTTATTCTTGCAAGCAAATCATGCAAACCTTCCATTAAAAATCATATATTTTCAACGTCCTGAATTTCTATATTACTCAATCTCGAAAATATGTCATTGAAAATATTTGAATAAAAAAACTTGCACACTTAGAAATCTAATAATATGTCAATTTCTAAATCAGAAAATATTGCAAACATTCCCAAACTACTGTCACTCAAGAATTTGAATGACTAAAAATTAACATTTCACAGACACGAAAGTTCAATATCAAACATGGTAATAACAAAGTTTCAACTACGAAAAAGAAATTCTTTAAAATTACGTACGAAGCAGGTTGATAATTTAACCCATGACACAAAACAAATTATTACAAAATTCAGTTCCTGTAATTGGTATAAAATATCAGTTGGTAATATTATCTAACTATAATATTATAGCTATCAGTTTCATATGCTAAGATTAATAGTATTATTTAGTAATTAATAGTACACGTCATATATTATACACTCTACGAATCTCTGAACTAATATTTAATTTACGAAGATAAATATTATCTTTGCTAAACCGTTCTTTCGTTAACTTTGTCAAGATTTTTCTGAAATTTTGTGTACAAAGCTTTTTAAACGGAACAACATTTCATTGTTCAGCGAACTGACGAGTGACTATCAGATTTAATACACAGCAAGCGTTCAATCATTGCACGCTATTATAACTAGGGAAGAGTTATAATTAATGATAAGTGACCATAATTGTCATACGATTATTCGATGGATATAATGAAATGATTGACGACGAAAGGCTTAATAGCGTATAATTATAAATGCAAAATTGGAACGTTTAAATTAGTTATAAGTGATTAGTAATGAGTGTTCGATAATGGATAACTATTGGTCTACATGTGAAGAATATATGTTACATATGTATACGAAAATGTTATGTTCCATATGTATACAAGAATATGTGTTTCACAGAAAATAAAAATTATTATGACTGTACTCAGAACGAACGACTTCAGTGATATAAAAGAGTATCAAGCAATCAAAGAGTTAATGTAAAGTGGAAAAATGTGTATTAACTCACCGAACAAGGTCGTTACAAATTTGGCCGACGTAAACACTAGGTATAGTCCATACACAGCTGCCAGATGAAGGTAACTGAAGATTATGACATTTCTCCAGACAATACGTCTTACATATTTTTGTTTGACTGGTTCTGCCACCACCGGGGTGTCCTCTAACGTCTCACCCTCGAACAAAACTCCCGTTGGAGAGCTGGTGATGTTTGGCGCCATACCCGCTTTATTCCTGCAAGCAAATCATACAAACCTTCCATTAAAAATCATATATTTTCAACGTCCTAAATTTCTATATTTCTTAATCTCGAAAATATGTCGTTGGAAATATTTGAATTATAAAATGTGCATACTTAGAGATCTAGTAATATGTTAATTTCTAAAGCAGAAAATATTGCTAACATTCCCAAACTTCTGACACTGAAGAATTTGAATGACTAAAAATTAACATTTCTCAAACACGAAAGTTCAATATCAAACACGGTAATCTGTTTGTAAATGACAGAATTGTTATACAGTTAATATTTATTCAGTGAGACAATTTAATGTTACTATCCATATATGCGAAAAGTAATGGTCAGTAAACAGGTATGGTGTGGATGAACTTGAAAATCGAAAGGAAGGTACACGTACGCGGCCGGTTATTGCCTGATTAATTATTTAATACGTGTTGCATAATATATGGTAATCCGGGCACAGCGAATTTTGAACGGGCCATATCTCTATGTAAATTATGAAGCACGAGGACGCAGGCGTTTAGCAAGAAGTGCGAAAGGAAGATGATGAATTTTTATTCGCCACCTCGGATCTCATGGCTGCCGTTTCAGATACCATTAACCTTGTTCACACAATTATTTTCTAAACACATCATTGCGATTGGACGACACGTTTGTTTATTTATTAATTCTAAATTAATTTGGTTGGAGATGTTGCTGATTATTATCTACGAATTTTAAATAACTGCGGTTTGAATTTTATTGGAGTAAAGAACTTTGGAGTAGCATTTTATTCTATTCTGATGCATTGTATTGTCGCGTATTGTAGTATCTCTCGTTATATTGCCACTTGTTGCATTTATGCGCGTTACATTACAACGTATACTATTTACACGCATTGTATTGTCACAAATTTTATTTACACGCGTTATATTGCCACCAATTTTATTTCCACGCGTTATATTTCCACTGATTCTATCTTCACACGTTATGTTACCACCGATTCTATTTGCACGCGTTATGTTACCACCGATTCTATTTGCACGCGTTATATCGCCACCAATTTCATTTCCTCGCGATATATTGCCAATTTCATTTCCACGCGTTATATTGCCAATTTCATTTCCACGCATTACATCGCCATTTCTTCAAAAGCCACGAGTTATAATACTGCTCATTCAATTTCCAAGTGTTATATTTCTGCCTTTCTCATTTCCTCGCGTTATATTGCCACGTGAAAAATCAAGCGATACATACGCTATATTACTACGCATTAAATCGCCACATGTTTCTCCGTACATTACAGTACCACTTGTTCCATTTCTACACTTTAATTTTGCACTTCGTTATATTGCCACGCGCAATTTCTTAAACTGAAAATCTAAAAGTTGGATTGTCAAACTTTAATTATTAATAACTCCACACATAATCAGTTCCGAGCTAAACTTGCAGAAAGTACTTTCAGTTACGAATTCCACCCTCTTTTACCGCCCGCAAGATTAATTAAAAGTTACGGAACATCTTGTATAACAAATATAATGCGTCGTATCTCGCCGCTTAAGTTGAAATGACAGGAGAAAAGGATGAACGCGAAAGATTTGAAAAATACGACCGGTTGCCATTGTGGTGAAATGGTGGTTGAAAGGGTGTAAGTTTGTGTACGTGTGCGAGGGTGAGCATTTACGAGGGTGGATATTGCGTACCGAAAAAGCTTTCAGACAAGCAAAGAAAGAAACACTATACCCTACGAATATAATACTTCTTGTATACGGTACGCTAACCTAAATTATCACTGCACAATTAGTATTATAATAACATTAACTATTGATATAAAGTCTAAAGTAAATAACCTTGTAACAAAGTTTAAAGTATAGAAAAGAAATTCTTTAGAATTACGTACGAAGCGGGTTGATTATTTAACCCATGACACAAAACAAATTATTACAAGATTCAGTTTCTGTAATTGGCATAAAGAATATCGTAACTCGTCCTATATTGCCTACCTTACAATTTCTCCACAAAGAATGTTACGAAACAACTGTCCGAAGCAACGAATCGAACAAAAATTCGATACAGAAGTTACGATCACTTCGTCGGATGAGATACAGAAAGAATGGCGTAAAACAGGTGGGTGAGCTCCTTTTATATCGTCTACGAGTAACGTAGTTTATGCAATATGCATGCAACAATATGTATAATCGTCCGCGATTTATCTAGAAGGGGTACTTTTCAAGCTCGATAAAAGTTTATCAAGATAGAACATATCATTTTTTGTCAAGAATTTCGTACACGAATATTCTATCGACCCCATTTTCATATCTATAAAAATATTCCTAAGAGATAACGTTTCAAATATGACCGGCAACTTTGACCGAAAGTGAACGACGCATAGGTGACAGTGGACTTTGCGATGAACCAAATTATCCAGAAAGCGATAATAAATTGCGACTCTCGTTAACAGCGTAACACGTGATTAATATTCATTTATTGGAGCTCGTTAAATTCCGTGATGTTACATAATTACGTTTCTGGGTAATTAATTGAGGACAAGATATTTTAAAAAATTTTCCAATTCCGTGTATGAAGATAAAGTGGATTTTATTTGAATTGTTGAATGATAATTCGGAGATGTTAGAGTTTGGAGATTTAGGGATTTGGAAGTTTAAGAATTTTGGGGACTATCAAGTTTGGAAATTTAGGGATTTGTAAATTGAGAAATTTGGGAATTCGCAAATATAGTAAATTATGGGTCTACTTATATACGGATCTAGGGATTTTTTAGTTAAGAGATTTAGGGATTTGGAAGTTTAGGAATTTGGGGACTTTGAAATTTAGAAATCTAGGGATTTATAAACTGGAAAATTTGGGAATTCACAAATAGAGTAATTTGCAGCTCTACTTATATGTGGTTCTAGAGATTTAGGGATTTTACAATTTAGAGATTTAGGGATTTCGAAGAGTAGAAATTTGAGAACTCCAAAGTATGGAAATTTGAAGATCTGAAAATTGGAAGATTTAGAAATTCGCAAATATAGTAATTTAAGAATCTAGATTTAGAGATCTAGGGACTTAGCGATTTGGAAATGTTTAATTTTGAAAATTGACAAAGTTAGAAACTTGGAATTTAGGGATCTAGGAACTCGAAGATTTCAGGACAAAAGTTGGATATTTTGCGTATTTGAAGGTTTATGAATTAGGAAATCTAGTAACCCCTAGATTCAAAGGATTAAAAATTAAAAAGTTTAAAAATTCAGAGATTTTAAAGTATTTGAATTTTGAGAACATTGAAAAAAATCCACATTGAAACTTTGAAGCTTGAACTGGAAGAATTTGGTGCATATCGATCATGAATCCAACAGAAAATGTCCCTAGCCCCTTCCCTCGACACGACAAGCACGTGCGTACTTAACTTGAGGTTAAATCTCCGCACACTCGTGATATAAGATCGTACCTGTCCATGAGTATGCCGGTCCGTTTCACCTACATTCCGTAGCTCATCGTTCGTCCTTCGGATGCGAACATCGGGCAACGTATCTCGACACGAAATCTACTAACAACCCTTCTGTCTCGTCAAAACAGGACATCCCCACGAGATCAATACGAGCGGCAAAAGCAGTGTCCCCGATCAAATCAACGAGTCGAACACTGACACCTGCCGTGGCTCCCATTCTCTCGTCCGCCAACAGCCAAGGTGTGCCTCCTTAGTCTTCTATCAACTACGTGTATGTACCAACCACGTATGTACCAACTACGTATGTACCATAACCAACTACGTGTGTACGTATGATATAGAAGCACGACAAACTTTGCCCGCGATCTACGAATAAACACCCCCTCCCATGTTCAATCCGCGAATATGAACACTTTCACGGATTGTTCGTCATTCGTTGAACGCGACGTCTCGATGACACCTGTAATCCTTTATCGGCGAAATAAGAGGCAAGGATTAAGCAGGATCGGGGAACATGGAGGAGCCCGAAGGATCCGTCGCAAACCCGAACGAGGTCGCCTATCGACTGGCAGCTGGATCCCGAGAAATCGTCCAGGCGCAGGCTCGAGGCACCGGCGTCCCGACGCCGACGGTTACAGCAGGACGTCGACGACTTTGTTACTCGAAATTTCCAACGTCTGTTGAACCCCCGGAGAATGGCCGAATGAGAGAACGACCAACCATCACCTTGACACTAGAATGCTCGACAGGGGTGGGGAACTTTTGGAGAAAGAAACCAGTGGAACTGGCTCGGTTAGCGGGATGAAGCTGAATTGCTTTAACCCTTGCTCTTGTTGCGGGGAGGGACGCAGCTGACTGTTATGGACGATTCGTTCTCGAATTTCTTCCGTAAAATTAATCCGATTTTACTCGAAATTTTTGGGTATGAATTTACATCTGAATAGTTTAAAATTATTCAAAATTTTGTAACAATTTCTAATTTTATAAACTAAAACATTCGCCTACTTTCAAATTACTAAGCTGAATTTGAAAATTCGAAAGTTCTTAAGAATTCAATAATACTTAAGTTCGAAACCGATGAGTCCCTGAATTTCTAAATTTATGAATATGAATTTATGAATACACCTATGAATTTCAACATTCGAAAGTATTTAAGTTGGCAAATCTGAAAACTAATGAAGCAGTCCAGCCAATAAATTTATAAAAATGAAATATTTTCATGTGTGCGAATTTGAAATTAATCATAAAGTGAATAGCACTATCCACATTTTCGATTCCGAGAATTTCCGCTCCAACAGAGTTAGCAGTAAAATATTCGTCCGATTCGGACCGCATTCGAAATATACAGCTAATCCGAGCATATCACGTTATCAGCAATGTACAACACATGTATGTACATATAGCAAGAACATGTTCTCCGCGTGTACTCTCGCGTGAAACTGAAAAACCGTCAAGTGACTTTGATTTATTATCATCGATAACCTTTTAACATCGTTTCGGTAACTTTTTCGAGCGACTTTATATAGAAAAACAAAAGTGATTTTTCATCGTGCCAATAATGTATTGGATACGTGCAATTTACATTCAACGATATGCACAAGACTATTCAATGTCGCGACAAAGATGCCAGCAATTATTCGTGTCGATTACATTATGCATGATCGCGAATGTGAATCGTCGATCGTACACAGGACAATTATTTCCGTTAACTAAGCAATAAGTCTGAATGATACTTGAAAAATATGGTTCTTTCGCGAATAAAGTCAATTTACTTAACGTTGGTTATTAAGTTGCTTGTTGAGTGTCAGTTTAACAATTTTCAACAATAAACATTTGGGGTAATAGTTACATTTGTTTTGGTAGATCAATTTTTATACTTTGTGGAATTCATTGCAGATATTTTGATAGATTCTCTTGTTATATGACCGTTTTTCTATGGACTTATTCGAATTAGTGTTGTCACTAGTTAGGTATTGTCACGCATTTTATCAGTACACGTAAAATTATCACGTACACTATCTCGCGTTATATCACCATCTAAAATTCGGAAGTCCTCGCGTTATATCACCGCATATTGCATTTTCGTGCGTTGCATCACCACGCATTCTATTTCTACTTATTTTATCGCCACACCTTGTACTTCCACGCATTGTACTAACACATTCAATTTCCTCGCGTTATATCACCGCATATTGTATTTTCGTGCGTTGCATCACCACGCATTCTATTTCTACGTGTTTTATCGCCACACCTTGTACTTCCACGCGTTGCAGTGACATATCCAATTTCCTCGCGTTATATCGCCGCGTGATATATTTCCACGCGTAATGCAGCGACGAGATATATTTCCACTCTTTATATAGCAACGTATTCTATTTCCACGCGTTATATTATCGCGCGCCTGAAATTCGGAAATCCTCGCGTTATATCACCGAATATCTCACTTTCACGTATTATACGGGAACACACTTTATTACTGTGTGTTATACAACAGGAATTTCATTTCCACGCGTTATATAGCAATATATTCTATTTCCTCGCGTTATATCGCCGCGTGATATATTTCCACGCGTAATACAGCGACGAGATATATTTCCACTCTTTATATAGCAACGTATTCTATTTCCACGCGTTATATTATCGCGCGCCTAAAATTCGGAAATCCTCGCGTTATATCACCGAATATCTCACTTTCACGTATTATACAGGAACGCACTTTATTACCGTGCGTTATACAACAGGAATTTCATTTCCACGCGTTATATAGCAATATATTCTATTTCCTCGCGTTATATCGCCATACATCTGATTTCTACAAATAGGTGCCGTCCTATCACTCCTATACGTTATATCACCACGTGATAGATTTCCTCGTGCTATCGCCGTGTTAGACTTCCTCGCATTATATCGCCGCACATCCTATTTCTATGAATAGACGGCATTCTATCATCCCCACGCGTTATATCGCCCCGTGATAAATTTCCGCGGTCTATATCGCCGTGTTAGATTTCATCGTGCTATATCGCCGCATTAGATTTCCTCGCATTATATCGCCGCACATCAGATTTGCGTACGCTGCATAGTTACGCGTTAAATTACTACAGGCAATTATTACGTGTTGCATTACATCACTTTATGTCGCGTTATATCACCAAGTTGTACAGTGAAACTTAAATGAAACTCCGCTCAGAATTAATTTGTGTTATTAATCATTCGTGCAGTTGAAAATCACTGCCCACTGTCTCTCGTTAACAGCGGTCTAACGAAAGGCTAATGCGTTATCTACTGAATAAGGCACGTGACAACGCGATAAAATATTCGTTTAAACATGATGTTGGAAATGCAGTTTCCGCTTAGCAAATCAAATCGATCGGCACTCGAGTGCAGCGCAGCGTTGAAAGTGTGCGTACAGGAAACTCGCGAGTTCTCAGTGCCAAGGTTGTGCGCGGTTAACGACTTTCAAAGCCTTCATTGACCATTCACTGAACTTGACCATTCGATACGATCGATTGTGACAACCGTGAAGGGAAATCGCGATGAATTTCGATTAGCGATCATTTCGTTCGAAATAATGAGGATATGAGTAATCACCTCGGTTTTTTTCATGTTCGATCATCCAATGACGCTGTGACCCGACTATCGACACGACAACACGTGATTCATTGCAAAATCCTAGCTAATAATCTTTAACCCTTTCGCTACGACAACCGTGTAAATAGAATAAAAATAACGTGGTTCGATTTAACTTTTCCATGCAAGATACCCTTCGAATGACACCAAAATCAACGTAAATACATAATCCACAGCTGTTTTTCCTGCTTCGATTAAATACTGAAAAACATTGCATCATAAAAATATTTTCATAAACGAAAATAGATGATACACGGGATCTAATTTTCGCTTGAGCAATTAACGCCTCGTTAATTCGAACGTTAATAGTAGTAATTACTGGTTACGGTTTTTACCGATCAATGCAATCCATGTCGTCGTCTTTTTTGCTGGTACATTAATGCATAAACTGATAAAACGGCGATTCGAAATTCAATGGTTGGCCTTTAACGAGAAGTTTGCATGTATATTAATATATTACGTCGAAATGGACATATCATGCGATTAGGTAATAAAAATGGAAAAGAAGGAAGACGAATTACATAATTTATCGAACAAATTGACCTTTCTATCTATCACGTTCCGTGATGTGCGCATTCTTAAATATCATATCGCGCAATTAAACGGTTGTGCTTTCGCAAACTTTTATCGTAATTCTATATTGTTAATCGCCGTAATACCCATAAAATTTATTGGGCGACGATAAACCACGGTTTATCAACAGAACATTATAATAACACGTACACATAGAATTATCATATGTTTTCAACATTCGATATTCGCAAGAGTAAAAAATTTTGTTCGATGGAAATTTTAGAGAAGTTCCATTTTGATTTTTTTCTTCCTTTGATTTAAATCTTACTTCGATTGTATCTTACGTACAATTCTATTAAAAAATAAACCATAACCGTTTGAAACTATATGCACACATATAATTTAGCGCGTTACAATTTATTTATGTCAACGAATGGAAAGGTACCGTGTTGCCGCGAACAAACGTTACAGTGGGCGATCGATAAAGAGTGGAATTATAAAACTCCATTCGTAGAAAGGATTTTAATATACAATAAGGTTTTAATATAATTTCGCGACAACGAAACAAAACACTTGTTCTCCGGCATAATATTACGTTAGGTTGGTGTTGCGTTTCGCGAGTGCACAATGCCGTGAAGAGATCGGTGACACCGGGCTTTGATAACGTTTCGATTTACAACATCCGTAGATTGCTTGGAGAACTTGTACCCTATCGTGTAATGCAGGGGCACGGTGGTCTAGGGAATATGGGAATCTAGGGGAAACGTGGAAGGGTTGTTAGTCAGAAGACTCATCTTGAGTTAATAAGTCCGGTGTTTTGTAGAAGCATACGTTCCCAAATTCATAAATATTGAATTCTTGTAGTTGCAAATGTACTAATTTCTAACATTTAAGGTTTAAAATGTAGTAATCTTTAATTTAGTTTTCAAGTCTTATATTAGTCTCCAGCTTTCAAACTAGTTACTATGCTTTGCAAATTTCTGATTTCAAACACCAGTTTCTATTTTCAAACACCAATTTCCAGTTTCAAACACCAATTTCTATTTTCAAACATTAATTTCTAAGTTTCCAAATTGACAAGACATTCAATTTTTAAATTCATAAATTTCTAAGTTTAAATTTGTAATGACACAAATTTTAATTCCTTAAAATCCCTAGATCAGGAGTCCACAAATTTGCAAATTATCAAGACCACAGATTTCCAAGTCCCTAAATTATGTTCTCCAATTTTCGAAAATCCAGGTTGTAAATCCCCTAAATTCTCAAATATCCAAATTAGCAAGGTCTAATTTGCAAGTCCCCAAATTGCTACGTTCTCAAATTTTCAAAAATCCAATTTGTAAATCCACTAAATTCCCTAATTCAAAAATTCTCAAATATCCAAGTCACCAAGATTTGATTTGCAAATCCCCAAATTGCTATGTTCTCAAATTTTCAAAAATCCAATTTGTAGATCCACCAAATTCCCTAATTCAAAAATTCTCAAATATCCAAGTCACCAAGATTTGATTTGCAAATCCCCAAATTGCTATGTTCCCAAATTTTCAAAAATCCGAAGTGTAAATTTCCCAAATTCCCTAGTTCAAAAATCCTCAAATATCCAAATTACTAAGACTCCAGAATTCCAAGTCCCCAAATTGCTACATTCTCAAATTTTCAAAAATCCAATTTGTAAATCCCCCAAATCTCTTTGTTCAAAAATCCCCAAATCCCCTAATTAAAAACCCCCCAAATCCCCTAGTTCAAAAATCCCCAAATCTCCCAGTTAAAAGTCCCCAAATCCCCTAATTAAAAAATCCCCAAATCTTCTAGTTAAAAAATCCCAAAGTCCCCTAGCTCAAAAATCCTTAAATCTCCTAGTTAAAAAATCTCCAAATCCCCTAGCTAAAAATCCCCAAATCTCTCAGTTCAAAAATCCCCAAATCCCCCAGCTCAAAAATCCCCAAATTACTAAACCATCAAATTCCCAAATACCAAACTCTCCAAAACTCAAATCCACAATAATTAAATTCGCAAATTTTCCAAATGTCCAGCCTCCCAAATCTCCAATTCATGTTTCGTAAGACCGCGTTGAAGCACCCAGCAGTGCTAAGGCTCGTTCCTTCGCAAGTTCCCCTGCGCAACGTTAACCCTACATGCGATCACACGATTTTCAAATACTTCGACGATTACATTGTCGACTTAATGGAGTCAACCTCGACCTCGAACTTCCTGTTCGAACCAAAGAAATAGAAGCTCTGTTTCAAATGACAATACATCGGAATACAACGGAAACAACTAGTGGGAACTAACTGATGACCAAACTATTCAAATGTACGTCTATTTCAATATTCAGTCAATGTTTACATTGAGAGTGCTGCTCGTTGTTAAAATGTATTTAGAGAACCTGTGCGTTTCAGCTATTATTTATAATCTGATTCAAGAGTGTGATATGTTTTTGGCACTTGTTCAAATTGTTATCTTCCTAGTGGACTTGACATTAAACCCGTTTCAAACTTTCTTAATTCATCTTTGTCAGATGACTTATAACGGTACTTGTACTTTTTATCGGATTATCTTAATGATTTGATAATTACTTTTTGATAATGTTTTATATCGAGGGGATTATGATAAAAATAAGATCTAGATTTGGTAGTTTTTGTAACTAGAGAAGTTTAGATTTATAATTAGAGAAATCTATGTGGGTCTCTAGGGATATTTAGAGATATAGAGATTTGAAATCTGGTGATATTTGGAATTTACAAACATTTAATGTTCAGAGATATTTGACATCAAGGATATTCTGTAGAGATTACAATTGTCTAGGGATATTTGTCTAAGAATATCTGGTGTCCAGTAATCTAGGGATATTTGTCTAAGAATATCTGACATCCAGTAATCTAGGGATATTTGTCTAAGAATATCTGACATCCAGTAACCTAGGGACACTTGTCTAAGAATATCTGGTGTCTAAAAATCTAGGGATACTTGTAGCTTAGGAAGACATGGATCTAAGAATCTAAGAATGTAGAAAAAAATAACTAGAAATCTAGGTATAAATATTAATGAATCTAGGAAATTAATCTAGAACTACAGTGATTTAACTAGTAATCTGAAATAGGGATTTGAAGGTGTAAAAATTGATCTAGACATACAAGAAAGAAGAATCTAGAAATCTTGATATATCACACATGCACACATATCCCTTTTATAGTACAGTATTTGTACAGGTTACAATAATAAAATAAATCAAATATTTAAATGCAATAAAAGTATAAGAGAATAAACGTGAGAATATTAAGATTTATAGACCAGTAGCAATTACGTGTATCACTTACATAATATGTAGAAATAAAAACAATAATTCGATGGAAAAATTATAGTGAGTAAGCGAAAACCGTAATAACAGGAATTTCTCCTTTCTATTTCTTATTCAAATTACTAGGACATTTTCCTCGCAGGACAACTCACCTTTCTTTCAAAAAAAAAAAATCGATCCTTCAATAATTTCGTTCCGAATCTCTTCCGTTCCTACGAATCACCGTTTACATAAAAGTAGGAATCAACAAATGTAAATGAATTGCGTCAATGTAACAGAGCGTGATTACATATTTAGAACGCTACTATTTCCAAGTTCAATTAATCGTTCGATGTTTTTTTTTTAAATTACACATTTATAAAACGCGACTAAAGAACTTGTAGTTCTAAACGACCGCTTTTTACGAAAATGTTACATCAGCGTATAAAATGAATAGGCAGTAGTAAAAAAGAGAAGAAAAAGCGAACAAAAATAAAATCTTACATCTTTCGACACGCGCACGAGGTTCAAAACCACCGGTGTGATCGGCCTGTCACGAAGCGAATAAAATATTCAATTCCATAAGACAATCAAGGTTTTCGGAACCGAGGGCACAAAACAGAGTGCAGAAATCGAACTGAAATAGTACCCATCATCTGGTCGTCGCCAGCTTAGATGATAGTTATAGCCGAGCCTTTTGATAGAGGTACGCCTAAAATCAGACACGTTGCGACGCTGCTCAGCCGAGACGGCCTGAGCCAATCGTATCGCTTGTTGCTGCTCTCGCCACCTGAGTCGGACGAATGGTGTCCATCGAATTTCATACGACTCCTAGCGCAAGCTGTCGTTCGTGTTCGGATAGAATCGCCGGCAAGTCGGTTTGCCGCGTGGAACCCGCGCACGTGTATATATGGATGCGTGCGTGACGTGCAGCCGAGCGAACACCGTTCGGCTACGTTCGGCCATCCTCGATTCTCGCGCGATGAACACCGAATTCAACGAATCGCTCGCGATCGTGCGAGTGGAACGAAGACGTAGAGAGGTCAGTTCAGCGAATCGGATCGTACAGGATGGTTGATTTTCGAACGGTGAATAAAGACCGTACTTCCTAATACTTTCCGAACAATTTATCGAACGGACATGTAACGTTTTTGAGAAAAAGAATTCGACAAAAAATAGATTCCAAGATATGATAATGACCGTAACATTTCCTCAATAAGCTTCTATGAGAAAAATGCTAAAATGCATACGGATTTACATATGAATGGTTTATGAATATTTATTCGAAAATGTCCGATTTACAATGTCTCTTGTTACAATGTACTTGTCGACTTTTTCCTCTTTCGAAAAAATACACCGTCACCCGACTGATACTATTTGTAAATCAAATGTCAACAATTTCATGAATTTTCAGGATGATTAATGACGTTCGGAATATGCTAACTGATCTATTGTGTTAACGCATTATGTGCATTCGTGCACTTGTAAAGATTATATTGTCGACCTTATGCACGCATGATATGATTCATCGATATGCGCTCGCAATAAATTTCTCTAAACATTGCGATGATATAATAATGTTCATTCACGCGCTGACGCTTGAAACCACGTAGGAACACGTGTACCAATCGGCGAACTTGAAACCACGTAAACGAGCTGCAACGAATCTTGTCTACGAGATTAGCCGAATCTTAATGTTGATGCAACTAGAGACATTCATTATGAAACATGATCACGTTTTCACGGAAAACTAACATGGCACCATATCGCTACTTATTTCATCTCGTAGCAGTTTAAGTTCTAATTTAACTATAATTTCAATCATCAAATGTAATTCGAGTTAAATGAGTTACGATTCGGCGTAATTCAGTGTTAAGTACAATGTGGATTTACTTCATTCGACAATTTATGCACTACGTGACCATATAAGCCGCGGTGATATAACTGTCTATTAGACGCATATCGTAATTCAAATTATAGAATACGAAACTTGAATTGTAAATTAAGAATATAACGTAACTTTGAATTATGTATAGAAGAAGAAAATATATTAATACAAAAATAGGTTAACAAGAAGCGAGGTAAAAACTAAGGTTAATAGCAATTTTTAGAACACAATTACGTCTTCATCTCGTGTCGTAATTATTGTTGACAAGTACGCACAAAAGACTGTGTCAGCAATTCGCTGTGGACTCGTAATAAGCACGCAAGTATATAAATTATGTGGTTAAAGTTATTATAGTAAATTATGCAAAATATCCCTCGGGGGTTATTATAGAAAGAATTCATTTCAAATTTTTAATGATTCAGAAAAGTCTTAGAACGCATAAATAACGACAGTAGCTTGTAAAAATTAACGAAGACATTTGAATGTTGTTACATAAATGTACACTCGTTTGTATTCTAGTACTTAACGACAATATAAATCAGAATTCAAGGCTAAAAGAAGATTAAAATATGAGGTGTACAAAGTTTCAAAATCGAACATCACTAATTTCAATGTTAAAAGGACTTTCTAAAAATATTTACGATATGAATAACAATTCTACGGAATAATTTTTCCACAAAACATTCCTTAAATATTCCGTAAATATTTAAAAATGTTTTTCAGAATATTTGACAAATACTTCACACTTTACGCTTTATAGCGTGTAAATATGCTTAACATACGAACTTTTAAAGCGGCGAAGCGTTTCAGAATTAACTGCTTACCATTTGAATGTTCGACCGAAAAATGTTCAATTCGGAATATTAATTACTATGTAACGATCTCATGAATATACACTATTTTCTATCGGCTGAACTATAAACTCCCGATACCCGTGTTAAGCAATACAGATACATAAAAAAAGTCATTTGCCACCGCTAATCGAATAATTATTGCGAGATACAAATTCAGCTCTGTAATCAAGACGATAAAGTAATTAAGTTGGAACATTTATACAAACTTATACTATAAGGAGTATTAAGCATAATTACAGTTTATTATTGCATAAAATACGTCAGATGAACTCGTGTGTATTTAATTTGTATCATTTTAATGTTCACCATTTTCGAATTCGTTTTCGACCACCGCGCATGCGCGTGCGCATCACGTGACCGGGTAAGCACGCACGAAAGACTGATTTATCCTGCGAGTATCAAACAGCAGATATGCAACGCGAGAGGATCGCAAAGGCTCGATTCGCTTCCTTATCCGCGTGTTACGTGAGCCAACGACTTTGCCGGACATCAATTTGGAAAGTGAAAACCGTCATTACATCACTCAAAGAGATTACGTGTCCTTTATGGAAACGCGACTTAACGAAAACAAGAATAGTCAGCAGCACGCGAACGGCCCTTGCGATTTCATTTTCTCGGAGCATCGTGATACCGAAACGTCTTCAGGGACCATTATTACCTTAAAAAAGATTGTAACGACGATTACACGGAACCGGTTATCTAATTTTTCATGTAGCTTTTTACCTTCGCTATTTATTGTTATTAGGTATAATTAATCTCGCTTGAGTTAATGGTCAAGTAAGGAGACGTTTCAAAGGTCACACTTTTTTGTACTAGATTCTGTAAAAAATTATACAAAGCATTTTCATATTGAAATTTTTACGATGACGTATCTTTGTCGATGCGAGGACAGATCGATGGAAATTTATTGGAAATGATTACTTTAAATTTTATCGCATCTACGTATCGCGAATAACCCATTTCGATGTCAATAAAGATTAAAGAATTTACTCCGCATTAATGTTTTGTTTATGTACTGATTACTAAAATTTATTGAATAATAAGTACATGATTATGAGGTAAACAAATCGTGCAACGGAGCATAGTCCACTTTTTTAATCTGAATGTAATTTATGGATGCCAAGATTAAATTGTATCGGAACATCTGTGCGAAACATACGAAGAATTTAAGTTTGAGCATACATGAAACGTATAATCTCTCATTTTTTACAGGTGCATAAATTATCGGGGTTTTGTGGGTTTTGAATGACTTATGACAATCCCTGTGTACAAATGTTTCATTATAACGTGTGATGATACAATGATTGGCAATATAACGCGATATACTTGATGTTACAATTTGTGACAATGCAACACGAAATATTATAATATGTCAAAATACTAAGGGTAGCGATGAAATTAGTTGTGTTACAATTCATGGCAATACGACGTGTGGTGATATAACGCGTGGCGATATACTTGATGTTACAATTTGTGAAAATGCAACACGAAATATTATAATTTGTCAGAATACTAAGCGTAGCGATGAAATTAGTTGTGTTACAATTCGTGGCAATACAACGTGCGGCGATATAACGCGTGGCGATATACTTGATGTTACAATTTGTGACAATGTAACACGAAATATTATAATTTATCATAATACTAAGCGTAGCGATGAAATTAGTTGTGTTACAATTCATGGCAATATAACGTGTGGCGATATAACGCGTGGCGATATACTTGATGTTACAATTTGTGACAATGCAACACGAAATATTATAATTTGTCAGAATACTAAGCGTGGCGATGAAATTAGTTGTGTTACAATTCATGGCAATACAACGTGTGGCGATATAACGCGAGGGAAAATAACGCGTGGCGATATAACATGTGGTGACATCGCGTCACTGCAATGTTGCAATAAAGCGTCACAGTACCTAAAAAATCCTCGTAGCTACATAGAAACTCGAACGGTAATATAACGAGAGTCTCTAATAATCTAAAATATGCAGAGATCGATGTAAGCTTCTGTGTTCGACACTGGAGTAACGCCACCGGTGAATATATAAATTCATATGAAAATGGCAATATAACGAGAGATAGGTAATAATCGAGTAACTATGTTCCTACCGACCTTATAAAAATTGGACGATTATTTTCAAAATGTTTATTGCTTTCGAAAATGTTACGAAACCTGAAGATAAGCGTAGAAGAAAACATCAACAGTCATATAAAAAATAAGTTTCGTTTATGATAATTATAAGTAGTAACGGTAAAAAGTCTATATTTACGAAGCGACGTCAATATGTTGTCCGCGTAATTAATTTCTCATACTCATTATACTTTAACGTTCTCACTAAATCGCAGAAAATGGTAGCAAATGTGTGAAAGTGACGCATGATATCCACGTAATGTGTATAATGCTTACAAATGATTGTTGAATATGCAGAACGAAATGCTATTAGCTATTTATACGGCATTTGAAATTTTAATGTTTCGACAGATTTCAGTTCTTCATTTTCTTCCTGATTTATTAACAATATGGAAATATAACTTTATGCGTAATATTAATTCATAAAATATGCACTAAAAACTTTTCTGCAAGACTTGACCTTAGTCTACGTTTCAAAAATAAATTATAGACTTTAAAGGTTAAGGGGAATAGTTGAGTATATATAGATTAGTTATTGTTGATTATTAAAATGCTATGGTTATAATAATAGTGGTTAGACAATTTTTTGAATCAGTGTAGATCAATTTTTTTAACGCCGAAGACTATTTTTCATCGTGCAACGCGCAACACGGAGCTGGATCGAACCGGTGCCATCAATCGACCCTAATCGAATTGGCGTTTCCGGTGGGTGATTACACCCTCGCGTCAATTCGCGACTGCGATTGCGACGTGTCGCGAACAGATTAAACATAAAATGCCAATAATTATCAACAATTCTCACGGTTATAAAAATTTCCGTCAATAAAACATTCGAATTTTGATGAAATTCGTCAAATAAATATTTTTCACTTCACAGGTTAAATAAATCAAAATAATTCAAAACAAAATACATCAGATAATAAACTAGAAACATTCGTAAACAACATTTTTCATACGCACGTATTTAAATGAAAAATTAAAAAATTTGTAATTTACATACGGCGTAAAGAATGTTTTCATGAATAAGATTTGAAAGATCCGAAGGATATTTGACAGCCGGTTTAGCAGCTTAATTTGCACGGCGAAAAAACAATTGTGAATTTCGGTAACGGTGAATGGAAACCTTGCCTCGAGCAAAAAGACGTACGAATATCGAAAATTACTTAAAGCTAGCTTGGTATACGCTCATACTTTGTCAGCAAGGGAAGAAATGTTTTCAAACAACTCAACAGGTGTGTTTCAAACGCGATCGTTCGGGAAAGTTCGAGAAACTTCGCTTCCCACCAAATTCAAACGAATGAAACCACTGTAGGCGGTTATTCAATTTTAATAACAATTACAGTTTTAATTTCAGTTTCAAAATTGATACTCTCTTCTTAATAAGTAGCAATTTTATTATTTAAACTTTTATTTATTTATCGATGCAAAACAGTTAAAACATATAAATCATATATTACAATTGTTAAGATGCAATTTTATTGTAAAAAATATTAATTTAATTGTAAAAAAATAATAGGAAATAATATTGTAAAATAATAGGAAGCGAAGTAAGTATTAGAAGATTGAAATTTTGTTGAACAGTTCGAAAATTTGAAGTTGATATTCGTACGGTATTAGAATGCAAAAAAAAAGAACGCTAACGACATGACGTGGTACAAATTATACGTGAAGAAAAGCACGTACGGATACTCTGAAATGAACGTAGTATAAAGAGGAGACCACGACATAAATAAAACAAACAGTCAGGCGTAACGAAAAGCATTTAACTATTTTTGCGTCGTATCGATGTGTGAATTTTATTATTAACACTTTCGCAAATTGACGCACTGACTGACGCTCGTTATCGTGCGACCGTAGTTGCACGCTTTTACTGTTATCGTTGGCAATGAAGTGTGTCGCACGACTCACGATAGATGTTATATTTTAGATCTCTGACAATCAATAAGTTAATTTTTCATTTTACTACAGCTATGGAACAATATTGAGTCGTTATCGATATTTGGGTCAAATCGAAATGTGTACTTGTCTGCAAAAAACTTGATGCTGAGAATTTTTTTATTCGAACTGCGGATTAAAAATTCCGGACTAATTAAAATTAAAAAATTTGAGAATCTACACATTCGTAAAATGGAAGCTTTGAACTACTAAATTTCTGGATTTATAACCGTTAAATCTGCCTATTGTAACTACGGAGAATCAGTGCTGCGTGCGTGAAAGTGCGCGTCAAGTTCACTCAACATGTCATATAAAAGGCAGCTATATAACGATCTTACGCTACTACCATTATTCAACTTTTCACCAACGGTAACCGAATTACGTGCTACAGAAACGGTATACAAGGAGTAAAAATAAAAATTTTAAATTGCATTCAAACATCTCACATCGTTTTTAAAGAGTTTAAATTGTACGCTCACGCTGAAGTATCCGTTAGTTGAACATCGATTAAAAATGTCGCACTTATCAAACATTAGCTTTCTTCGACAAAATTTCCGCCGCGACGTAGAAAAATCATTGCCAGGATAAAAATAAACGGCTCCACGAACGACGCAGTATTAATCAATTTCCATCGTCCATTGAAGTACCGAACGTAAAATTACATCATCCAGAAACACCGATAAATCTCAAACAACGCGAGATGTCCGATCACGCGATGTCACAGTGACCGGTTGTGTGACGAGCAATTCCAAAGCAAATGGATACACATTTTAATTTAAAATAACACTACCGGTATAAGAAAGCGAGCAAAAAGAAGGCTCGCCCGTTAGTTTACCTCTCGAACGCGTGCCGGTGCGTTTTATTCCAGAAATTCTCAACTATAATACCGGCCGTAACGGATCGTCTTTATTGGTTTGAAAAAAACGGAGAAACGTACCTGGATTGTCTATCCTCGTCGAATCTGGCAAGTTAACCTTTTCGATGAATGTTAGTTGGCCCGTTTGTTCCCTGGTGTGTGGCACGCAAAAGTTACGATCGTAAAAAAACGCGAAATAATAAGGTCACACCAGACTTGTTCCTTTTTAACGTTCGGTTATGTTCACCTTTTAGTGTAACGTGTCTCCTCTCGTAACTGAACGATCTGACATCAAAGCACGACTGAAATGCCGGCTCCACGCGACCGGAGTTAAATACGATTGCCGGCAAACACCAGAACGACGATAAACGCGCCTCGACGCTCGACGGAAACGACGCCAGCGCCGCGTCACGGCGCTCTTTCGTCATTCATCTAGGAGTAACTTGCGTCGATTTATTGGCAGCTGCCTGATCTTTCACCGAACATCGCTGAGAATCATTTTCTTTTCTTCTTTTTTACCTTTGCTGACAGTCAGCATCGTAACTTTTTATTTTGTTTTCTACGCTTTGGGCGACAAGCGTGAAAGAAAATACGACAGCTTCATCTTTGTGGAACTGTAGGTAATAAGCGGTTTAAAGGTTGATTTGATAAAGAGAGAAGAAAGCTTTTTATTTCTTTTGAGTGTATTGGTACTGAACATGTGAATGGAGAGTGACCGAGAGATTGAGAGGGAAATCTTGTTAGATTCGACGTTCGATAGTGTATTTATAATTAAAATCATTTTTTGTCAGAAATGTTTATAGTTCGGGGTGCTGTTAGATATGTTACACGCTATTTAGGTAGTTATTGATTATGTAATTGTAAACACGCTGTAATCTTGGGTCGATCCTTAAGACAAGACTTAATCTGAAAAAATATATACAATAATTTTTTGATTAGAATTGAACAGTTCTTTTAGTAGAAAACTTTCTTTGGGAAAATAATATCCAAAGAAATGGTAAATTTAAAGTATTAAATTCTGTTGGAATTTTATTAAATTAATTTAAATTTAAATTTTAGTGGACTGTCGCTAAAGGGCCATTTGTGTTAAAAACTCCACTGTTATCTGCGGTCGATCATGTAGGTCATGGGGGTTTCCTTCAACCAGTACTTCTTAAACTTAGTTCCATGGAGCCCTTAGAAATGAAAAATTTTATCATTTTATCTAAAATGGTGTAGTTAACTTCTCTTGAGATCTTGTTTTACTATTCTTTCTTTTCTGACTTTCTTACTTTTCGTATCTTGATACGGTTTACCTTGCAGGAGCTTATGAAGACTTATCGATCTCTCAAGTTCAGATAGCAGAAGATGCATACATAGAATTCATCAGAAAAGAGGGAGACAAAGTTCGATTACTGTGAGGGTGGATTCCTCTTATAATCAACCCTTTGCGCTCGAAAGGTGACTCAGTCACCATTATATTTAATACAATAATTTTAAATAAGCATTTTTTAACTGATTCTATAACATGACACGTGTAATGTATAAACATAGTGAAACAAACAATAGTGGAAATTATTAGTAAAGAAATAATAACCTCAAGAAAATTCATTTAATTTTTTAACTAATTTTTAAAGCTGTTGTTCGTAAACAACACCTCCGAGTGCAATGTGTTAAGTCTACAATTATTTATGCATTTATGACATATAAAAGTAGCATCATGGGTTCTTTTAAACCTTCAAAATTCAGAAACTTTAAAATATTTTCAAATTAAATAAAAAATGTAAATATAAATTCAGTATCTCACAAATCGAACAAAAAATTTAAAAATCTGCAAAATTTGTATTTTAGAAACCTTCAATTCGAAGTGGAAGCTGCCAATATTTACTGATGCATATCTACGCAATAAAGACGTCACTTCAGATCGTTACGACTCGAATACATCACTACCTCAAGTCATCACTTTTTATCTCCGTTGAACAAGTTTAAAATAAATTAAAATTGTAGAACAGTAGTAAGACATCACGTTTTTAAATGCAATTACGAACATAATGCACATCGGTATTCTTTGCGAACGATTAATTGAATTTGTCCATAAATTATCAAGGGCTATGTAATATTATTATGCATACAGAATAATGTTAATATTCGTACGAGTCGAGCGACTAAAATATCTCGGTATTTATTGTGCATTGTTCGAATATTGCATCACGTAATGGCTTAACTACTAGTAACATAAATAAAATTTGTACTTGTTTCTGTTGGAAATTTGGAGTATTCGAAAGTATGGTAAACTACCCTCTCTATTTTGCAATAAAATAAATCATTTTCAAATAATTACTCGCAATTGTCGATGTAAACTTTTCCTCGTCCTTCATTTTATATCGGTTTGCCTGGGGCAGTTCGTATTTTTCATTGATGGCTGTCATCTTCCATGGAAGTTTAGTCATCGTGTTCGCTCCTTCGTATCTCTCGAAATTAATCTAAACTCTAAAGTCCAAAATCCTCCTCGTGGCTTCGTTGCGTCAGCGACACGCGTGTATTCTGATGAGAGAATCACGTGAACATTGGAATATTAGTCAAAGCGCCGAATTACCAGGGTGCACTTTGAGTTCGCGTTAAAAAAAGACACTGGTATCCACAGCGTGCAAGAGATATTGCACGTATCATGTTTTAATACATATTTCGATACGTATTCGTGAAACATGTTTTGATATGTTTATTTGCATGGAAATTCATTTTTACATTGACATATTGCTCTTACGATTAACGCGTGTCGAAGTAACATTTGGAGAAAACGCAGAAAATTTGCGGAATGGTAATTAAGGCACTGTGATCTTTGAAAATTATATATTATGGTGTTGTTGGCTATTTTGGGAACTGAGATAATTTTGTTAGTTATTGATTAGAAACATATTAGTATGTATACTGTGCCTTCCATTATTAAAAATTTAAGGGATATTTTTTTAAAGAGTTGCGATGGCCAAAGTATTTAAAAAAAATTTTTTTCCAATATTTTTACTCTTTGCACTCGAGAGGTGACACTCAGTTACAATTTTATTTAATATAATAACTTGAAATAAGCATTTTTTAACTGATTCCATAATATGACACGTGTAATGTATAAACATAGTGTAACAAACAATAGTGGAAATTATTAGTAGAGAAATAATAATCTTAAAAGAATTCATTTAACTTTTTAACTAGCAAGTTTTAAAGTTGCAAACTTTTAAAGTTTGCAAAGAGTCAAATTCTTCGAGTGCAGAGAATTAATACAGGTTTAAAATGTGTTTGAGTTATGCAACACCCACGGAATAAAAGTGCGGTGGGATGCGAACCCGTAAAATTCATGTTTTGATTACGCTGCAATCTCTTCCTAACCTCTTCGTCGATGACGACTTCAAATTAATTTTTTACGTTTCAGAATATAATCAATTGCAGCATAGAATGATCTGAATTTGTATTTCCTTACATAATTTCTTCATGTAATGAATCATCTGTATGAATCACGAATGTGAAACTGTTTAAGACTACGTCATAAATACACTGATAAAGAATTCATGCAAATTGGAAATAAAAAATTCTGTTTGTACACAAAGCATCGTTTTCTGGGTCTAATAAAGAAATCAGAAAAAATTAGGGGGTAGTAATTATGCCGATATGTTATTACCACAATAATATGAAAGTAGTCCTACATCAAAATATCGCATTTCGATTTTTTTTTATAACTATAGCTAATATAAAAAAAATAATGGATGTTCCAGGATTTTTGTACGAAACTGACAAGTAAGAAAAATAGGTAAAAAATTGGAATTTCGGTTTTGTTCTCTTACTACCCCGAAAGACAGGGTTGAAACTTAATGTGAGGCATTTTTGTGAACGTGGTATCAAATAACGTACTGAGTTTCTTATTTTATTCAAGGGAATATTTGTCCATCTTGAGACTTTGTTTCCCAAAATCGTCAGATTCGTAAATAAATCACCATTCAGAATTTCAGGAACAGAAATTCCCAACTTCATCCTTGAATTAATTTACTAACTCGACTAGAATTTAATACTCGACTTTACTAAATTTAATACTTGATTCGCTGTTAACTGGATGAAATTAGAATAAAATGAAAGTTAGGCAGAAAAGGTTATGCGTCACAATCATAAATCAGTTTCCACCGTATCGAATATATTGAATTAATTGGTATACTGAAAGTCAGCGATTAAACAAAAGGTTTTCGCCGGTAAGAATAACGAGCATAAAACAACGATTCTCACGGTTGTTCTCTGTTCGATTGGCATCAATTCTATCGATTTTCTGTCTACGCCAAGTAAATACTATTATCGACACATCATTGTCCTCATTCAACGGGTTTTCTGCGCGAACGTCAATACGTCTGCAACGTTGACTCCTTTCCATCTACGGCGCTGAAAATGATCCAGTAACAATTTCGAATAGCAAATTAGAAATTGCTGAAGTTCCCTGGCAAAAAGCAGAATATTATTCAGACTGTCTACCTGTGTTTTTATATAAGATTTTTATTGGAACTTTGAATATGTAGTTCAAGGAAAAAATTAATTAAAATACGCTGACGCAGGAGCATGTTATAGCGTCAACACAGTAGTTACGGCAGTTATACAACAAATCTACGATAGTTCGTTAAACTATGGGGAAATGTGTGAGTCATATCTGATTTTTGTTCGTTGATGTTAGTTGTATTTGAACACAGAATTCGTTTTCGTATTTCTGGTTCATTTCTCTGGAGGATTGAAATGTGACGTTACGTAATTAAACCCCTTGAAGGGGTGGAAGGCATTCTTATGGAATAGAGGTTAATTGCTGTTGCTGGAGGTGAAAATGTAATTAGATATCTTTGGAAGAGACAATTTTGTTTACTTTGAGAGGGTGGGGCAAGATTTATGCAGTATTTTAGGGGTAATTGTTGTCGTTAGGACATTAAATTTTTCAGACGTTTAGTTCTTTAATAGTTTGCAGGGAAATTTTATTTATAGGGAGATTTTGTCGAAGTTCGAAATGTTCAACTTCCATGTTTTTTGAATTTCCATGTTTTCAAATTTTTGAGTTTACAAATTTCTATGTTTCTGAATTTTCGAGTTTACAAATTTCGATGTTTCTTAATTTTCAAGTTCACGAAATACCCAGTACTTGAATTTCCAAATTCACAAATCTCCAAATTCTAAAACTCTCAAATACCAAAATTTCCAAATTACTGAATTAAGGTCCCTAAATTTCCACTTCTAAATTTCCTAAGTTTCAAAATTTGAAAACTCACAAATTTCTATGTTTCTGAATTTTCAAGTTCACAAATTTCCATGTTTCTGAATTTCCAAATTCACGAAATATCCCGTTCCTAAATTTCCAAATTCACAAATCCCCAAACTCTAAAACTCTCAAATACCTAAATTTACAAATTAACGAATTAAGGTCCCTAAATTTCCACTTTTAAATTTCCTAAATTTCAAAATTTGCAAACTCACAAATTTCTATGTTTCTAAATTTTCAAGTTCACAAATTTCCATGTTTCTGAATTTCCAAATTCACAAATCCCCAAACTCTAAAACTCTCAAATACCTAAATTTCCAAATTAACGAATTAAGGTCCCTGAATTTCCACTTCTAAATTTCCTAAATTTCAAAATTTGCAAACTCACAAATTTCCATGTTTCTGAATTTACAAATTTACAAAATTCCCCGCACCTAAATTTCCAAATTCACAATTCCCCAAATTCTAAAACTCTCAAACACCAAAATTTCCAAATTACCGAATTAAGGTCCCTAAATTTCCACTTCTAAATTTCAAAATTTGCAAACTCACAAATTTCCATGTTTCTGAATTTTCAAGTTCACAAAATTCCCAATACCTAAATTTCCAAATTCGCAAATCCCCAAACTCTAAAACTTTCAAATACCCAAATTCCAAAATTTCCAAATTAACAAATTGAAGTCTCTAAATTTTCACCACTAAATTTCCTAAATTTCGAAATTTGCAAACTCGAAGCTCCAAATCCCAAATCTCTTCCCTTACAAATTGCGAAACCACCAAATTTTCAAGTGACAGTAAATTTTAACCAACTTTCGTGAATTTTAGTAATGGCGGACAAAGCGATATATTTAAATTGTCCTATGTTAAATGTTGAACCTTATCAACCTTATACGATTCATCGTGTTCGAATATTTTATCGCTCCTGTTCCCTAGGGACTCATTTTACTCGTAACTGGTTAAAAGCATGACACTTTACTAGTTACCTTTCACTGCTGCGAATAAGAATCGAAAGTACTATACTTAGAATGATCTTCAGTTCATGTTCGATCGTTGTCGAAGACGTTCAGTGTCTCCGAAGAAATTTGTTATAAATTTATAATTATTTTATTAGCACATTTTTAAAACAATCACGAAGATCGGATGAATTTATTTTCATAAAACATTGAATTTTAAATTTAATAAACGTAACTCGAAAATTTATCAAATTTAGTAAACTTCGTTTGCTTTTGAGTAAATTTAGCTGCAAGGTGACTTTGAAACTAATCCATAAATAAAGGAAAAAATTGTTGAAATTGTTAACTATTTTTAAGTGGTTAAATAATATAAATGAATAGTATCGTAATAAAATTCCAGAATTGTAAAATGAACGCGAGTCATATCCCTAGTTGGTGTTTTTGAGCTCAAAAAATAATTCAAACACCTTTGATTATTTTACTCCAACATAAAAATATATAAATTTTAATCTTGATATTTCATAAGAAAAGTTTCCTACATACGTTGGATAGACAGCTCATAAATTATTCTGACGCTTTTCGCCAGTGGAACAATCAACGTCAATCGAAACAGCATCGCCGATTTCAAGTCGGACGAAGCTTTATGCTCGTCCTAACGAAAATAACTATACCACGGTTCAGTTATAAAACCGACATCGCTCGTTTCGCTAGCCACGAAAAGAAAATGAAACAGGGGTGGTTTATAGCGACAATTTTTTACGTTGCGACGAGTACCTGCATTTTGCCATCGCCGTTGACTCTGCAGTTGATTCTGGAATTTGCTAAATGGAAGTCGTGGGATCAGTTAGTGTTGTTTGAGAATTTGTCTTCTTTCGGTGAGTGAAGTATTTTTATTTGGGGAAATGCAATTTTTACTTGCAAAGTATCTGTTTTGTTTCTTTTATAAAAGATTCGGTATTTCGATGAAACTGTCTGTAAAGCCTTGTAAAGCCTTGAAGAAACTTCAAAATAGATCTTCACCCTAGATCCTTGAATAGATAAAACTAATTAAGTAGATCTATGTGTGTGTAAATTTATAGATCTACATACTTCAAAATGTATAGATGAGTGTTTGCCTAAATTTTCGAGTACTTAAACCTAAAATTTGAAGATCCCCAAGTTATTAAATTCCCAAGTATAGAAACCCTAAATCCTTACACCCCCAAATTCATATATTTCCATTTACTGATGCCTCAAATCCTAAGATCCCAAAATTCATAAATTACTAACTACTGAAACTCTAAATCCCTAGATCTCGAAATTCCTAAATTATCGAGGACTAAAACCCCAAATCCCTAGACCCCCATTTCCTAAATTCCCAAGTACTCAACCCCTAAATTCTCACCTTTCTAAGTACTGAAACCTCAAATCCCTAGATCCAAAAATTCCTAAATTCCCAACTACGGAAACCCCAAATACCTAATTCCTCAAATTCCTAAATTTCTAACTACTGAAACCCCAAGTCCTTACATTCCCAAATTCCTAAATTCCCAAGTAGTGAAACCCCACATCTCTAGTTCTCCAAATTCCTAAATTCCCAAGTACTGAATCCCCAAATCCCTAAAATCCCAAATTCCTAAATTTCCAACTACTGAAACCCCAAATCTCTAAATTCCCAAATTCCTAAATTCCGAACTACTGAAACCCCAAATCCCTAGATCCCAAAATTCCTAAATTCCCAACTACTGAAACCCCAAATACCTAATTCCCCAAATTCCTAAATTCCCAACTACTGAAACCCCAAATCCCTAGATCCTAAAATTCCTAAATTCCCAACTACGGAAACCCCATATACCTAATTCCCCAAATTTCTAAATTCCCAACTACTGAAACCCTAAATCCTTAAATTCCCAAATTCCTAAATTTCCAAGCAGTGAAACCCTACACCTCTAGTTCTCCAAATTCCTAAATTCCCAAGTACTGAATCCCCAAATCCCCAAAATCCCAAATTCCTAAATTCCCAACTACTGAAACCCTAAATCCCTAGATCCCAAAATTCCTAAATTCCCAAGTACTGAATCCCCAAATCCCCAAAATCCCAAATTCCTAAATTTCCAACTACTAAAACCCCAAACCCCTAGATCCCAAAATTCCTAAATTCCCAACTACAGAAACCCCAAATCCCCAAAATCCCAAATTCCTAAATTTCCAACTACTAAAACCCCAAACCCCTAGATCCCAAAATTCCTAAATTCCCAACTACGGAAATCCCAAATTCCTAAATTCCCAACTACTGAAACCCCAAATCCGTACATCTCCAAATCCCTAAATCCCCGAACAGATCCTCAAATCCCTAAATCTCCATAAACCTACATTACCAAATACCCAAGTGCCCCAGTACCAAGATACCCAAGTCCCTAGAACCGTAAGAAGCTCAACATAAAACGGCACATGCAGTATGCAACGTGCGATCAACTCCGCAATGGTTTCAAGCAGCGTTCATCATCAAAACATTTTGCGTATTAGTGTCCTCGCTCATAAAACTATGGAAACGTTTTCAAAATTAACGCGCATAATGTTTTCGTAGCGAAAAAGATAATCGTCACGTAATCGTTGGGTCATGATCCCATTGCTCTAATTAAATTTATATTCAGCACCTTGTTTTTTAACACTCTCCGCTTTTTGTCCAGATTGTGTATTTACTTATATGAGACCTTTGATGACATGCTTCGCGGAGGAAGGTATCAGCGTATCAATTCAGTCCGCTGTCAATCCGAACGTACCGGATGCCCTTGTGATCCAAAAGCATCGAATTGGATCGATCGTCCTATTGGACGGGCTGAATCTCACGTCCCCTGATAACGTTCTACACATGGTGAGAAGCACGTGTACTGCTAATCTTATCGGTGCTTTCGGCTCAGGGAATCACTGCGAGCTTTTTGGGCACACACAGTATACGTTTGTTGTATTGTCGATATATCGCGATTCTTTATTTTTCAGTTCTTTGATTTATGGAGTCTTTGATTTATCGATTCATGGGTTCAACGATTGTTCAATTTATTAGTTTATCAACTATTTACATTGTCAAGATATCGACTTATGAATTCGTCGAATCATCAACTGTTGAAATTCTGAATACTTTAATTTTTGATCTACTGTACTAATAAAATCAATTCATTAATTTCGTCAAGTTATGACGTTTTTGACTTCTACATTCATTAATTCATCAATTCATCAATACATCAATACATCAATACTTATCGATTTATCGATTTATCGATTTACCAATTTATCGATTTATCGATTTATCGATTTATCAATTTATCAATTTATCAATTTATCGATTTATCGATTTATCAATTTACCAATTTATCAATTTATCAATTTATCAATTTATCAATTTATCAATTTATCAATTTATCAATTTATCAATTTATCAATTTATCAATTTATCAATTTATCAATTTATCAATTTATCAATTTATCAATTTATCAATTTATCAATTTATCAATTTATCAATTTATCAATTTATCAATTTATCAATTTATCAATTTATCAATTTATCAATTTATCAATTTATCAATTTATCAATTTATCAATTTATCAATTTATCAATTTATCAATTTATCAATTTATCAATTTATCAATTTATCAATTTATCAATTTATCAATTTATCAATTTATCAATTTATCAATTTATCAATTTATCAATTTATCAATTTATCAATTTATCAATTTATCAATTTATCAATTTATCAATTTATCAATTTATCAATTTATCAATTTATCAATTTATCAATTTATCAATTTATCAATTTATCAATTTATCAATTTATCAATTTATCAATTTATCAATTTATCAATTTATCAATTTATCAATTTATCAATTTATCAATTCATCGATTCATCGATTCATCGATTCATCGATTCATCGATTTATCAGTTCATCGATTCATCAATTCATCAATTGATCAATTCATCAATTCATCAATACATCAATACATCAATACATCAATACTTCAATTTATCAATTTATCAATTCATCAAGACGTCAATTCATCAATTCATCAATTCATCAATTCATCAATTCATCAATTCATCAATTCATCAATTCATCAATTCATCAATGCACCAATTCATCAATTCATCAATTCATCAATGCACCAATGCACCAATACATCAATACATCAATACATCAATTTATCAAATCATCAAGTCGTCAATACATCAATAAATTAATTCATCAATGCAACCCCCACGTCAATACATCAATAAATTAATTCATCAATGCATCCACACGTCAATTCATCAATTAACCCAATTCTGCGAAGTTCCAAATGAAGAAATTCACAAGTTTATGAAGCTAAGTTTAGCTTCTATTTTTATCGCACATAAAAATTTGTAAATTTAATGTCTGGCCTTCATCGATTACTTATAAACAATGTCGTAACTTTTCATTTTTTTTCATCATTATACATAAGCTCACATCTTAGATGTTAATGCAATTTTCTTTAGCAAGTGCAATTAGTATATTAGTATAAAAAATAATTTCTACACTAATCGCCATCGATTAGTCAATAAAAAAATGTATCAATTAGTAATTTCTTCGAGTCGTCAGCGATCCACTTCAATATCTTGCTTCGATAATGACTTTCGATAGTAATGCAACATCATGTTTCCCAGCGTTTACATTAACATTAACAGCGATTACACGCAAGAAATCACGTGTTCCAGAGTATTGTATGATTATTTAACATGCGTTGTCTTCACGTAACGATCACGGTTTTATTAATTCGCTTTTCTTCGGTATACCATTGTATACATACCGAATAACCAATAAGCGGCACACATATACATACACCCCGAATAAGCAATGAATCATTTGTGATGGCATACGTCGACCAAAAATTACAAATTCTTTCGTTCTCATTATGCCAGAAATTTGTTGAACTTTCACTGTCCTCTTCGGCGCCATTTTATTTTCTGCGCACGACGTGTAATTCAGGTGTGATTCATCGTCGCGTTATGGAAGCAGTCGTCACAAAAGTACATTAACATAACGTATGAAAGTTAAAACTGTGACCACTTTTAATTAATGGTTGTCTTTCGATGTTGGATTGCATGTGTAATAACTGATCAAGTAGAAATTACATGTAATGTGTGTGTTACGTGGTTTCAGGCATCTCAGAAATATCTATTCAATTATTATATCTCCTGGTTGTTGATCACGACCAGGAGCAACGATGCGACGATCGATACTGTGCTGCGACATCTGAATATCGGTATCGATAGCGACGTCGTCGTTGCCACTCCTTCCGCTTTTTATTCGGAGATGCAAAACCTGTCGAAAACGTATCAGAGCAGGTATCATTTATATGTTGTAACAGTGTTTGGATTGATCTTTCAAATTTACAGATTTTTCAATTTTCTGAGTTAAGTGTCCTAGATAACTTTATTAATAGTCCACAAATTTTACCTTTCAATTAGTAGACTGTGACTTTGCTGAATAGGGATTTTCAGTTTGGGAAATTTGTGCAATTTTTATTTGAGAAGTATTTTTATTTTTCCTACAAAAAAATTCGGTGTTCGAAATAATCTAGAGATTTCTCGATTCTCGAAATCTTGAAAAGTGTTTAAATCCCCAAATACGTATGAACAATATGAAATAATAATAAGTATAAACATTCCGAGATGTCTAGATGCACAAGCGCATAATTCATTGCTGCATCATAACTACATTCAAAACTAACAAAAAACTAGTGAATACTATGTAAATAAGCCAGTGGATAACAATAGTCTTCCTTATTCCTCCTCAGGACATGTTCCTTCTTAAAACGTTACGGAAGCTCCATTAAGTTCCATGATCCGCCAATGAAGCAATTCGATGAGAACGCGACGATCAATTTGAACTACGCCATTTTGGAGAACCGAACCGTGTTCTTTTACTTCATCCACGTCTACAAGATTCGATACGCGGACAACACTAGTCTAGTTACGAATTTCCTTGGGTCCTGGAACCCGGACTCTTGGTCCTTTCACAATCCGACGAATGTGAAATTAAGAAACGACTTTAAAGGACTACCGATCGTGTTTGGGGTATTAAATGGGACGATCGATGGGCATATGGACACCACGGAGGAAGAGACGGACGACATTGCTCCTCTTCTCGATTTCGCTAGCTTCGTTACCAGTAGTGTGAACGCAAGGTATACATCTTCTAGGTTAACCGTTCAGGCCAACCACGTAAATGGGTTTCTGGCTTACTGGACAATTTTTTCCTCCTCGGAACTAGTTCTGTGCTTAGAATGCGTCTACCGATGTCAACCCACGAGTTGGTGCGTGAGTGTTTAGAAGAGCACAATTGGTCAGAATAGAAAAGACACGAATTTTCGGTGGTACTGGTTCGGCAATAGTTCAAGACAACTTAAGGTAGGCAAACGTTTCACCTCGAACGTCAGAACGTCGTGGGGACTGTTCAAGATGGGGTGCGTCCCTTAAACCTGGCTCAGCCTCCTACGCGCCAGGTTCAGGGTTGCGAAGAGTACCGATGTCAACCCACGAGTTGGCGCGCGAAGAGGCTGTGTTTAGAAGAGCTACGGCACAATTGGTCAGAATAGAAAAATGGACAACTCGCACGTATTTTCGGCGGTATATCGGCTCTCGCGGTCGCACACCAATTAGGCCAAAAACAATGACAGGCAAACGTCTCGAGAGTGAGATAGTGCCACTTGCGTTCAGCAGTTGTTATTGTCATTATTCTTATTTGCCGAAATTAACGAAGTGTTCACGGTGGATAGCTTCTTTTACTTTGGGTCCACGCGCCGGCTCGTGGGTTGACATCTGTACACTGCACCGGTTCTGCGCTTTTAATCGCGTCTACGATAGGAAACGAACTTGCGACACACACCGTCACGAGAAATTACGAAATACTTATTGTATAAGCTGTTTGATGTTATTGATCCTTTCGAAATTATACGAGTCACCATATTAATATTTTTTTTCGATTTCGTTGACAGGTATTACATATTTGCAGTTTGTGAATATATTAACAGGGTGATTTTATGTACTTCACTGATAGTACAGCGTTGTGGAAGAATTACTTCTTGTGTATTTATATAATATAAAATTGTTTATATTGCTCGATTTAATTGTTTAATGGATCGTCATTTTTTAGCAACAAATGACGTTTGTATTTTTATATGTACATCTGTCACTTTATACGATTAATCAACACTGTGTTTTTTAGTACATTACATAACTAATTAATGTTGTCTTTTTGTGTATATTATAAAACTAGTATCTGTAGGAATGCAAAAATCTGTTAATCCACAAATATAGTGAAACCTAGTGTATCTACTAATCCATAAAACGAGAAGTCTAATGATCTTGAAATACAATGACCTCTGACTCCAGAGAAAGAACGCTATCGCATTTTCTATAGTTCAAGCCAAGATTCCAAAAAGATAAACATTCTAAGGACCTTCTAACTTGAAAGGTTAAAGATCAATCTTCTTGAACTTCTACTTCGTTTTCCTAGTACACTTTCTTTTTTTCGAAACACAAAATCGTTGCAGAAAGAGGGGAGCCAATAACGATTACATTATCAGTAGAACGATACGAGCTGACACGATGTATCTAATGTCAATTGTAATCAAGCATTCTATGCATGTATGAACACGTATAAACGATAAAAGTGTCGGTATAAATTATTGTGACGTGGTATTCCTAGAAAAGTAATTGAGAGGTGAATTGAAAAACTGAAATAAAAGTAAAGGTGATGCTCCCTCTTAAAAAACTTGTTTTCGCAATCTGATGCCACTGAATCGTTTTGACCCAAGTTTATCTTGTTTCTAATAAAAGTAAAGGTGATGCTCCTTCTTAAAAAACTTATATTCACAATCTGATACCACTGAATCGTTTTGACCCAAGTTTGTTTCGAGGAAGAAAAACTTGGAAAAGGATACTCGATAAATAGATACTTTATTTCTGTAGGAAGAAGCATGGTTTAGTGATTGATCGATTTTTGGTATGTGAATTGTTCAGCATAGAGTTGGTGCCGCACGAGAAGCTCGGTACTCTAAACAACAAAGTTTGGAACAACCTCCTCGGAGACGTCGTCTCCGGGACCGTGGACATCGGGTTAGGCTACATAACCGTGAACGAGGAACGACAAACGGAGATGACGTTCAGCCATCCGCTGATTCGCTACATGTGAGAATTATTTCTTAACCTCTTGCACTATGTGTCAGGTGCGTCAGAACTAATCACAGCTGCAGTATTAAAACAGAGAAAGGAAGTTGAAATGTTATGTCAATCTGGTATTATGCAATCGACTACGCAAATTATAATTAGACTGGAACTTCAAATTCGTATTCAAAATTCAAGTATTCGTATGCAAAAAAATCACGAAGTACTTGTCGAAATAGTGCAAAGGGTTAATTATGGAGAATCATAATTTGTTTGGAATCGATTTTTTGTGCAGGAGGAACATTTATTATCATCCGTTAGAGATCGGGACGATGAGAGATATATTTCGACAACCGTTTAATAATTATCTTTTGGGATGCGTTTTTTCTACGTACGTCGTTATATTGATAGTGATGGGTTTGATTATTTACGCAGCGAAGAATGTTCTACATTACGAAGAGGAGAAACGGATCGGGATTGGGGAGGCTGCTTTGTGGTGCATCAGCATAATGTGCATGCAAGGTTTTGTACATTATTTATTATTACTGTGACTGAAATTTATATTACTGTGATTGAAATATTTCAAAGAATAGTTTGATTAAGTTTTCCTTATGAATTTAATGACTTGTGAATTAATAATGCGTAACGATTCGTCAAAGATACTCATATTATTCTTTTTTAATAGTAACACATTAACCGAGTTCTAATTTTTGAATCTGTGTCAGGTTCATTATGGACACCTCGAAATCCGTCGGGAAAAACAGTGTTATTATTCAGTTTGACATTCTCCTTGGTGACGTATAGTGCTTACGCTGGTTTCATTACTTCTATATTATCGGTGCAAGTCAGTGGTATTAAATCAATCACTGACATTCTGTCGCACAATTTTAAACTGGGATACAGCAGGACGGACGATGAGTATATTCGAGTAAGTCTATTATAATGAAATTATTTTATTTTGTCTTTCAAGTTGGGTTTCATTTTGTTCCTCAAGTTGGGTTTCATTTTGTCTCTCAAGTTTGGTTTCATTTTGTTTTTCAAGTTGGGTTTCATTTTGACTCTCAAGTTTGGTTTCATTTTGTTTTTCAAGTTGGGTTTCATTTTGTCTCTCAAGTTGTGTTTCATTTTGTCCCTCAAGTTAGGTATCATTTTGTCCCTCAAGTTTTGCTTCATTTTGTCTTCCAAGTTTGGTTTTATTTTGTCCCTCAAGTTTTGCTTTATTTTGTCTTTCAAGTTGTGTTTCATTTTGACTCTCAAGTTGTGTTTCATTTTGTCCCTCAAGTTGGGTTTCATTTTGTCTCTCAAGTTAGGTTTCATTTTGTCCCTCAAGTTGGGTTTCATTTTGTCTCTCAAGTTAGGTTTCATTTTGTTCCTCAAGTTGGGTTTCATTTTGTCCCTCAAGTTTTGTTTTATTTTGTCTTTCAAGTTGTGTTTCATTTTGTTCCTCAAGTTGGGTTTCATTTTGTCCTTCAAGTTTTGCTTCATTTTGTCTTCCAAGTTGTGTTTCGTTTTATCTCTCAAGTTGTGTTTCATTTTGACTCTCAAGTTGGCTTTCATTTTGTCTCTCAAATTGGGTTTCATTTTGTCTCTCAAGTTGGGTTTCATTTTGTTCCTCAAATTGGGTTTCATTTTGTCTCTCCAGTTGTGTTTCGTTTTGTTTCTCAAGTTGATTACAACTTTATTTTCCAAGTTATAATCCATTTTGTCCTCCAAGTTGTACTTCATTTTTATATTACCATAATTAACATGATATTTAAATATATCTATACTACAGTACACCACATTATATTAATGAATATTGAACACATTATTTCTTCGTTCCCATAGAACGTAAACGATAGTAACCTCCGGGAATTATATATAAGAGCATTCAACAATCGAGAATCTCGATTAGATACGGCTTCCGGTCTCACGAAAGCTGTCAAAGGACATTATGGTTTCTTCGTGAGCGCCACCTTAGCCAGACGAGCCCTTAGGTCAACGTTAATTCAAGAAAGATGTTCTTTAAGAGAACTATCACTTTCACAAACATTTACTATGGTAGCTCTACCTATGGCTAATTCTTGTCCTTATAAAAAGGTCATTAATTTGAAGTACGTAAATCAATGGATCGTAACATTTAATATTGGTAGTGAACATTGACGTAACTAGGTGGTGATTATAGAATTTGTGGGTTCTTAAATTTCTAGATTCTCAAATTCCTAGATTCCCATATTTGTGGGTTTCCAGATTCCTAAATTCTCAAATTCTTAGGTTCGCTAGTTTCTAGATCCATGAATTCGTAGATTTCAAATTTCTAAATTCTCAAATTTCTAGATTTGCCAATTTCTAGATTCCCCAATTCCTGGATTCCCCGATTCGTAGATTCTTCAATTTCTAGATTTCCCAATTCCTAGATTCCCTAATTTCTAGATTCTCCAATTTCTAGATTCCCCAATTCCTAGATCTCCAATTCTTAGGTTCCCCAATTTCTAAATTCCCCAATTCCTAGATTCCCCAATTCCTAGATTCCCCAATTCCTAGATACCCCGATTCCTAGATACCCCGATTCGTAGATTCCCCAATTACTAGATTCCCCAGTTCCTGAATTCCCCAATTTCTAGATTTCCCAATTTCTAGATTTCCCAATTCCTAGATACCCCGATTCGTAGATTCCCCAATTTCTAGATTCCCCAATTCCTAGATTCCCTAATTTCTAGATTCCCCAATTTCTAGATTCCCCAATTTCTAGATTCCCCAGTTCCTAGATTCCCCAATTTCTAGATTCCCCAATTCCTAGATTCCCCAATTCCTAAATTCCCAATTCCTAAATTCTTAGAAGTAGAAATCCCCTATTTCTCAAATTCCAAAATCTCCAAATTCCCAAATCCTCAAACACTTAAACTTCTAAACCCTAAATTCCCAAATATGTACCTCTCCAAGTCTCCAAATACCTAAATCCCTAAGTGTCCAAATCCCAACTTCCCCCACTCTCCCCTATCCACCAAATCCAAATCCCTCAATCAAAATCCACTAGACCACCCTTCCTCCAGAACACCAACACTATTACTAAGTCCAGATCAGCTCTTTTCAACCCAAAATTAGTTACGTCAATGACAACTTCATTGACTCTCCAACCCTAACAACAATCTATTTCCAGCATCCTGAAGATACGCGAACGAGGAGTACTCAACCGAATCACCGAACGAATGCTACCAGAAATGCCTCGTTGCAAATTAGCCACCACTTTCCACAGCGCGAGACTAACGGACGTCTACTCCGCCTTCTTCATTTTGATCGCAGGCGGCGTGTCCGCCATTTCGATCGGCATCATCGAACGAATCTGGAACAAACGCCGGCAAATGAAGGACACCATCGTCCGCGGTATGCGGCAGCACCATCTGATGCCCAACTTCTCGCACCTGCCTCATTGGCCTCATCTCCCGCACTTCCCCCACTTCCCACATTTCCCGCAGTTGCACTCTCGAAGCGAATTTACGAAGAAACATTCTACGAAGCCTGGTAACAAGTTTGACTCGTCCACTTCCGCTGGGGAGTCGTTGAAGGGGGCTTCGAACAGCGGAGAGAAAAATGAAGAGGAAGGCACACGCTCCGAGGGCGAAACGAGTTTCCAGCGTTTCGAGCCGAAATTTCGGAGCTGGAAGAAACAGGCGAGTTCTAGGCGCATGAATTGGACTTCTTTTCAGGGGTTGCCGAAGAAAAAAAGTGGTAAAGAAACGAAGACCAGCACTGATACTGTGTTTCCTTTTCATCAATGATTTTAGTGAAGGTTGTTTGATTATTTGAGTATTCAATAATTTTAAGTATGACTTATTTTTAAGTTTATGTTAAGCAATTTCAATGTCTGAAAGCTTATCAGTAATTTTTATATGGGTTCGCCTTTGATAATTGAGTATTAGACTATTTCAGTACGGAAGGTTTACTTTTCAATTTCGTATTTTCGCGCGCTTGGCAGCACCATTTTGTGAGCACAACTTTTCATAAAATAATCAATGTTTGAGAGTCTTTGAGCAGAACGATGTACTATTATAATGTAACGATTTGAAATGCAATTACAGGTTAACTATTGCATTGATATTTGTAATTAAAGATTTTCTTTAAGCTCAGGTTTTGACGGACTACCGGTAGATGGCTGTTACAGTATTGCGCGGGCTTTTCAAATATTAAAAGAGCTACGATGTTATAATTTCTTATATCAATATTATTTGTAAAAATATTTTAGCAGTATTGTGTCTTGCGAACAATCCACGTAGACTTATTGAAAACAATCCACATAATTACTAAAAATTTCCTCAATTTATTATAAAATTTTACAGTATTAAAATATAAGAAACGAACAAATGTAAGTTAAATATAATCAATAAAAATACATGTATCAATAGAATTATTTCTGTTGTAAAATAGAAAAGTAAGAAAGTTTCTTTGGAATAAAAATGTTCATTCACGTTTACTGCATTTATCGTAGCTCGCAGTGAATTTCACTTTGGCGTTGTAAGTTTTGTACGGAGGCTCGTACGGGTTCAGGTCCTCCATACTTCTGCAGTCATGTAACATGCCGTGCATACTTCTGGGAAATTCCGATAAAAACGGTTAATTAATTTTTATCGATCAACTCGCTTCCCTTTATTACCGGCACAAAACGTTTGACAAATTTGGAAAGTTGTCGGGATCCTTGCACCACTGCTGCCACTTTTCGTATAACTCCAGTTCTCCTACGGCGTCCAGGTAGTAATGACACAGATCTTTTATCCTGAGTAACATATTCAAGAAAAAATTGAATGAATGTTAAATAAATTAATTTTATTGTGCTCAGTGATGATGTGAGCTTTGAATGTTCACAGGTTGTTATACAAAAAACAATATGTTAGCAATTGCGAGAATTTTTTGTTGCTACATCTACATGTATACAAGAGTATACTGTATCACATGTATAGTACTTATCTCTTTAATGTTACTACATCGACTTTAGACCGAAGGTCCACAAATTTTACGATTCTCGTGTAATAAATTTCAAATAAACTTTTTATTATGTTAATTGCTAACTTGTCCGGCCACAGTGCATCCCCCGACGAGGAGACCATGGTAGAACCCGGCAGCCAATCACAGATAAACCTCCTCCCATTAATTTCCCGAAGACTGTAACTGCAAAATTAATAATTTTCAATCCATCAAAAATAAGAACATTGTACATACTGTTGGAAGGAATGGTCACAGATGGTTCTCAAAAGTAATTCAATTTCCGTATCGTTCAGACATCCATCGGGTAACATTTCTTGGACATCCATCAACGTTTGATTTATCTAAAAAACACATATCAAATTACCGGTTATATAAGACGTATACATAATTTACATCTTGTGCAAAAATTTGATATTATATTCTGTCGTTACGCGTAATACGTTACGTAAATCGATTCGTGATTTCTTCGAATGTCGAAGGATATTATCGATGCAGATTACAATATAATAGTAGAGGATTGAACCTTGTCAGAAATGGCGAGACACATGCCACATCTTATACAGGCGGACGAGAAGTCAATCTCGATGGCGTTGCACGTAGAGCAAGATCGCAAATAGGGTATCTTCTGGACAATTCCGAGCTTGGGATCGCAGTCGTAATAGTAATCAGATGTTTTATTCTGATCACGGTTAGAAGAAGTAGACACGCAATCCACTCCGCATTTGGAAGATTTTCTTCTGCCAAAAGCTGTTGTATTCGACGTTAAAATGAAGAGAAGCAATATGCTGAGAAATAGTCTCATCCCCGTAGTCACTTTCTCTAAATATCTTCCTGAGGATCTTCCTAAGGATTCTTCCTAACTAATTTTTTATACAATTCAATTAAGGTTTTGTTAACTCAATAAGGTAGAAGGCAACATTTGGTTATTTTCATATTTATTTAAATAAGGAAACAGAAGAAAAATTTTGAAATTCTTTAGCCAAAAGATGTCAAGGTATGAACTTCAGTGTTGCAGGATTTGCCAACAGACGTCGCCACCATTGCTATTTTCTGGGTATCCCCTTTGGGAGATCCAAGTTGTTGAGTAACCACATGGTATTGAAGTTTGAAAGGTTAGGTTGATACAACAAATTGTCAACATGGTAAGTCTTTATCAGTTTATAATATAAATAAAGCATTTCCTTAACTTCAGATGTTTGATTGATTATCATGGTTCTTGTTACAGGAGGTTGCAATGAGGAAAGAGTATTCAAAAGCAAAGAAACTTGCACACCCTAATAGCAGGAAGTCTATTGCCATTGCAAAAAGAGCTAAGAAGTAAATTACATTACTATTAAATTGTAAGAGTTAATGTATCCTGTTACAAGACAGTGTGGTTTGTTTCAGAATATCGAACAGACAAAAAGCAAAGTTGAGCGGATTGATAAAGCAGAATTTAATAGGAGAGAAAATGTTGTGGATCAAAGAACACATGGTTCCAAATGTATGTCCATACACTCCAGAATTAACTGCTCGTCTGTTAGAAACGTAAGTTATTGAGAATTGGAATAAATATTGTATCTATAAGTTTGCTTTTGATTTGAAGGTACATAGCGAGGCACGACGAAGAATTGGAACAGATCATGATTAAACGTTCTATCAGCAACAAAAGGAATAAACAGCATGCCAGCAGGGAAGATGTGATAAGAATGACAAAAGAGCGTGAACAGGAAGAGTACAATACCTGTGGAATAGGTAAAAATTGAACTACCTAGCAAACAAAACCAAATGTATAAAATGTTCTTCATATTTCAGAAATTCCTGATATTTTAAATACAACTTTCTGTAAGATGTTGATAGAATGGAATGGTGAACTGAGGTATATGTCCAACTTTAAATTCAGAAGGTTTGGTAAGAGACATCTGAACGAAGCGTTGCAAAAAATGAATAAACCACCAAAGCAGCATATAAAGAAAGATACACAGACTGAAGTGTCTGACAAAACAGAAAGTCCTGTGGAAGAAGAAGTATTTAAAAGTACAGAGGATTTATCTGTAAACGATTCTACAGAAGACAGTAAACCTACAGAATCTGCTATGGAAGTAGAATAAACGAATTGTTCCTTTTCTAATTTCCTTTCTATGATTTATGATTTTCTTGCCTCCTCGAAAACCACGTTTTCTTGTAAAACGAAAGTACCAACACTTTCATTCTGCTTGTGTAATTCCACTTGCATTAATTCGTCTCGCTCTCATCTCGGGGAACAAAAGAGCCACAAGGAAGGAAAAACACGACAGAAAGAAAAAAAAGTGTTCGATTGCGAAATCCAGCACGAAACTGGAACATGTGAATGAGTCACATGTACACCAATTCTCGAAGCTCGTGTTTCCTCGATCTTTCTTCATTTCGTTCCTTATGCTACTTTATTATATAACGATAGAAACACATTATTCCCAGAAACGCGGGAAACGGCGTGTTTAGGATGAAAAAAGATTCAAATCTTCGGAAGTGCGTAAGAGGCGAAGTGATTCGAGAACGTAACCATTACTCGAGAAAGTTTCGAGTCAATTTTTATTCTCCTACGCTCCGGATAGATCCTTCGACTTCCTGTGCGTGTTCGAACGCAGCTGCAACGATTACAGTTGCAACGAATTTCTCTGAAACACTATGACGAAGAAAAGCGAAGAGGGGGACCCGATCACGTGGATAAGAGTGAAAGTTTGCGAGGCTTTTGCTTTGATAAATTATTGGCATATGTCTGTTATAAATCGATGATTCTTTCTATAACTTTTTACTAATATTGTTAACAAACTTTATTTACTCTTCATATTTTATATGAGCTGAGTTATTCGATTAAGTTGAAATTGAAGGAGAAATATGTTAGACAGCAGACTTTCGTTATATTGCAACGGATGAAATTGTATAACAGACTCGTTAATATTGGTAGATTAATTATAAAGTTACTACATGGCAACCTGTAGTTATACATGTACATAAACATATAAAATAATATACAGAGCGACAATATACACTGCAATTTAAGTGACAGGTTCGTGGCAATATAATTAGAGTATCCGAATTTATTGTCAACGAACCATTCGACATATTTGGAAGATCTAAGTTTGTCTAACTTCCAAATCCGTTCATAAGTTACGCTTTCTCTCTGTTTGGTTTCAAATGTGACGCTTGATCTATGGTTGTTACAAATTAAGTAAAAATGCAGCAAACTGGGTCTGAGAAAAGAGGTTAATGAACGTGTAAGGACATAGAATCGATTGATTAGATGGATAGAATTCAATAAAATTTGTACTTAATTCAGTTCAGTTCAACGTCACTCCAAACTTGAAATTATATCAATTTGTTGCGTTTACAAAATAAAATATTTGCTGTTGATGCAAAATGTAGAATATGTAAGATATGAATGAACAAAATATGTAAAATATGAATGAATAAAGTATATAAAATATGAATAAATAAGATAATACAAAGCTTCTTATTTACAATTTCTCAAACAGAAGTTATCCAGCTGTTCCATCTAACGTCTCAATTCTATCTTAACAAGATTATTATTTCCACTGTATCCTTAATTTTCAATCAGTGAATGAAGAAATAGATCGTGAAGAAAATTCGCACAAAAATGTAGTAATTCACTGTGGCTGGAATTCTCACAAAAATGTAGTAATAACGAATTAAAAATTCAACAGCGAACGGAAGCAGTGGCTAAAAAACATCATTCCAGCTACACAGAAATTCTTCAAAGTATCAAGTCTTACCACATTCCACCATTCTGCCACGTTCCATCAATCTCTCTAAGACGCTGATCTCGCGATCAAAAACTTCAGTTACTCAGTAAATTATACAGATGTACAGAATCAAGTATCATTAACCGAGGAAAGCATGCGCATACTTTTCTATTATTGGTGTGGTGAGAATAATTGAAATTTTCATTCCTAGGATGATGGATATTTCATTGGGATTTGGTGTGGGATAAACTTCTTTTTCGATTTGGAGGAATTCAAGGTTTATTTGCACCGAGGTTTATTTGGTGGATTTTATTAAATGTGGGCTGTTCAGGATTGATTTGAACCGATGTGGAACAGTTGTGTTACTGTTATTAATAACACAATTTATTATTAATATTATACTATTTTATTGAAATGGGTTTTATTGAATCCACCGATGTGGACTGTTCAGGATTGATTTGAACCGATTTGGAACAGTTGTGTTACTATTATTAATAACACAATTTATTATTAATATTATACTATTTCATCGAAATGGATTAAAGTGGATTTTATTGAATCCACCGATGTGGACTGTTCAGGATTGATTTGAATCGATTTGGAACAGTTGTGTTACTATTATTAGTGACACAATTTATTATTAATATTATACAAAAGATATAACAGTGACTTATTGAAATAATATTATTTAAAATTATTGTAAAAAATCGTTCCCAGAATCGTGTATTAAAATATCCAATAAAAGTTTCCCGAAAGAAGATAAAAAGAGGATCACAAAATGGACGACCAGCGTATCAGAATTACGCAAAACTGAATAATGGCGGCGGTTATAAACGTAATATTGATCGATGGTGCATAGCCAGATACGGCGTAATCTTATTTTGATTCTCTCGCAGGAGTCTCGCAACGGATGCAATCGATTCACCAGTCATTTTTACGCTCGCTTGAGCTTTACGATCTCTGGACGTCCTTGCGTTCTGTCGCTCGTTAGACAGATCCTTGCCATCGAATTAGAAAGTTCGACTACGCCTTTTTCGCGTTTGTCGCCGACATTTTCTACATATTTCTTGGCAATGCTATGCGGAAGAACTGGCCGAATAAGTGTTTACACGATTCAAGGTGTTGACGAAGAAAACTTAGTCGAACGTTATTTAGGATTTAGGTCGGCCATTTGTGAATTTCTTGTTCCGATCATGCGTGGAAATTAGACTTGAAACTTCATTTTACTGAGATTACTTGGAAAGTAATTGTGTCTGAGTAATTATTGGACGAGTTAAATAGGGCTAAACGCAATAAAATATTAGATCAAGTCTTTTAAGTTTTAAACGAAGTATAATTATGTTAACCCCCTTACAACGTGTCACATTTATGACGCACGCTACGGAATGTGATACCAGACTCGTGTTTTCACAACAAGTGAATTTTTAGTTTAATTATAATAGTCTGTATAATGAAGGACTGCTGAAAACGTGCTTAACATTTTAACGTTCTTGAATTGTCTTAACGTTGTAGCAATAATTAGCTTTGCATGACGTAACTAGAAAATTGTAGGTTAAGGAGTTAAGTAGATCAAATACGATTAAACTGAGATTAAGGATGATTATTCAAGTTCAATTAAATCAATTAGGTTAAATACAATTATCTCAGTAAATTATTATACACATTAAATGAAGTAGGATTGTATTAAGTAAATACGATTAAACTGAGTACATTAAGGATGATTATTCAGATACAACTGAATTAAGTATGTTAAATACAATTAACTGAATAAATCATTGTACATATCATTTAACATAAATTGCACATATGATTGCACATACGATTTACATGTAAATTATTAATTTAACATAACTCTAACTGCAACTATAATTTACTACGATTAAATATGTATCAACAATAATGAAATACAACAGCAGTTATAATTTTCAGTATACGCAATATGCTATAATTTTACATATCTTTCGGCTCACGTAAACATTATGGACGTGTGACTTATGTCACACATACGGATCTAGTTCATTATATGGAACGAACGGGTTAGTATGTCGTGCACAGAATGAATATTCGTCTGACTTGATCACGAATTCTACGAGTCGCACAACCTCGATATTTCGAGCTATCTTTTACAAGAATCAATGATTACCTTAATTACCATAATACAAACTGTTTATCAGAAACTTTATTGCAAATCAATTTTTTCTCACATAGAACAACTAATCTACAAGTACAATTTTCGTGTCAGGTGATATTTGTTTCATTAACTGTCCAGTTTCGATACGTGACTCGTGTGGATGTAGTTTTTACTAAAATTGAAGTCGTACAATACACTCGTCACTGATTTTAATTACACGTTTTGCTATAAAAAAAAAATTAAACATACGCTGTTAAATTCACTCTGGACAGTCTTTTATTAACACTAAACCTACCGACATATAATTACTTAATTTGAAATTAAAAAATAAATAAACAAACGACGAAACCTAAATTAGTACACACATTTATTCTTTATCTTGTTGAAAATCAATGTTGATTTCAAAGAATGTACTTCAACAAAATGTGCATCTTATAATAAGAAACTTGTGGAGCGGTCATTTGATAGTTTTAGTGTTAATGTTAATTTACTGTCTATTTTATATTTGCAACTAAATTTTATGGTTTCCTTAAAAAATCTGCAAATTAAATTTACTGTGAATGTTTTCACTGGTTGAACTCATTCACTGCACAGAATTATCCGATTTCCATTGAACGATAACTAAGACCATAGGCTGACAGTTTAGTAATTATAAGAAGTAAACAATGAAATATTATAGTGTTTTCTTTAAAATAAAATCTGCAAATTTTTGCAGTGAATGTTTTAACTAGTTGAACTCATTCACTGCACAGAATTATCCGATTTCCATTGACCGATTACTAAGACCATAGGCTGACAGTTTAGTAATTATAAGAAGTAAACAATGAAATATTATAGTGTTTTCTTTAAAATAAAATCTGCAAATTTTTGCAGTGAATGTTTTAACTGATTGAACTCATTCACTGCACAGAATTAGTCGATTTCCATTGACCGATTATTAAGATCATAGGCTGACAGTTTAATAATTATAAGAAGTAAACAATGAAATTTTATAGTGTTTTCTTTAAAATAAAATCTGCAAATTTTTGCAGTGAATGTTTTAACTGGTTGAACTCATTCACTGCACACAAAAATTATCCGATTTCCATTGCCCGATTACTAAGACCATAGGCTGACAGTTTAGTAATTATAAAAAGTAAACAACGAGCTAGGCACGAAAGTCGGCTATCATTAAATCCGAGAGGTATCATCAAAACGTATCGCGCAATTGTCATTCGTCTAAACAAAGGTTTCTCCGCGGTGTTTTTAATTTTCCCC